AGGCTGGAGTACAGAAGTGTGATCACGGCTCATAGCAGCCTCAACCTCCCAGGCTCAAGCAATTCTCCCATCTCGGCCTCCCAAGTGGCTGGGACCACAGGTGTGCATCATCACACTTGGTTATTTTTTTTTATTTTTATTTTTTGGTAGAGAGAAGTTCTCCCTATGTTGCCCAGGCTGGCCTCAAACTTTTGGACTCAAGTGATCCTCCTCAGCCTCCCAAAGTGCTGGGATTACAGGTGTGAGCCACCGTGCCTGGTCAGTTTTTAATTCTTTCAACAAGTGTTTATTTAATTAATGTCTACTATGGATCAGGCTCTATTGTAGGTGCTGTATGTTAATGGAAGGAGATGGAATGGAAACAAATGAATAAATAGACCCTATATAGAAAGTTAGAGGCGTTGTTTAAACAACAATTACACTATACTTAGAAAATAATCAATAGTTAAAAGAAAAATAATGCTTCAGAAGGGAAAATTCTTTGAACTAAGCATTTTAAAATGGTAGCAGCTTTGCTGTTCAGAGAAACATCAAACCAGGCTGAAGGACTCTACAATATACGGGGAATTTCAGTACAAAGTAACACAGCCCAATTTTGTGACTCAATGCTACTCATTGCCATCTCTTTTAAAAACTCTGTGGCATTTGTACATACAATATGGTACTTAGTACTTCATTAATTAGGGCCAGGCATGGTGGCTCATGCCTGTAAACCCAGCACTTTGGGAGGCCAAGGGGGGGCAAATCACTTGACACCAGCTTGGCAAACATGGCAAAACCCTGTCTCTACTAAAAATACAAAAATTAGCTGTGCATGGTGGCACATGCCTGTAATCCCAGCTGAGATTGAGCCACTGCACTCCAGCCTGGGCAACAGAGTAAGACCCTGTCTCTTAAAAAAACCCCAAAACCAAAAAACCTTATTGATTACAAAGAGTTTATGATAGATGCTAGCATCTGTAAATAAAGGTCAATTACTACTGGAAACAAACACAGCATTTTCTTAGCTGGGAGAGACTTGTGGCATTTCAGGTTCCCCCAATTTCAGCGAATACACCAGAAGGGTGCTCTGTGCAGAAAATGATTTTGAATGAATTAATTAGATACTTAATTGGGAAAATTAGCATATGGCATGTTGCAAATAAAAGATGTGTAAGTCCCTCCCGCCTTTAAAAAAATCTTCTGAGTTAACCATTGGATTCCACGTTTCAATTACTGGGAGAAAGGCATGAGGAAACTCACAATAGGGTGACAATACAAATTCTCCCAGAAACGGCAACTGGGTTAATGAACGCTCAAGGAATACCTTGGCAGTCTTTCAAGAGTATCTAATATTGGCCTTCATTAACCTCCTGAGTCCATCGGTCTACACACGCGGTCATGGAATGCTCACCAGGGACACTGCTGGTCATGCTCCCGCCACGCTCTAGAGAGCAGTGAGAATTGAAGGAATCGGGAAGGAAGGGCCATTTTAAATAGCTGCACTTCAAGTAAATTTGTTTCAAATCCTCTATGTGCTTCATCAATAACCAAAAAAAGGACCATAAAAAAAAAATACCCTTCTTATTTTAAAAAATATTGAGAAGCATCTTTACAAATATATTTTTCTAAGTCTGCATTTCTCCACTGTGAGTTCACTTATCCCAGTCAAATCAAGACCTGGGAGCCCCTGGAATGGCCTGCCGTCAGCACACATATGGGGATTCAGTGCTTATAGGAGAAGGAATGAGGCAGAAACACATGCAGATACCCCCGTAGCCCTTTTTTGTTGGACTGAAACTGTCCCCCACCTGCCTTCTGCCTACCACTCCAAATCTGAGGGAAGTGGCAATGATCAGAAATCAAATTTCAGCCAGGCACTGTGGCTTATGCTTGTAATCCGGGAGCTTTGGGAGGCTCAGGCAGGCAGATCACTTGAGCTCAGGAGTTCAAGACCAGCTTGGTCAACATGGTACAACCCTGTCTTTACTGAAAATACAAAAATTAGGTGGGTGTGGTGGTTCGTGCCTGCAATCCCAGCTACTCAGGAGGCTGAGGCAGGAGAACTGCTTGAACTGGGAGGTGGAGGTTGCAGTAAGCTGAGATGGTGCCACTGCACTCCAGCATGGGCAATAGAGTGATACTCTATGTCAAAAAAACACGTTTTTTTTTTTTTTTTAAATCAAATTTAATTGTGTCACTACATGGATTTTTCTCTTCTGGATTTTTTTCTTTCCCCCCTTAACCCTTATTATCTATCAAAACATTATATCTAGCAGCTGGGTGTGGCAGTTCATACCTGTAATCCCAGCACTTTGGGAATCTGAGGTGAGCAGATCATGAGGTCAGGTGATCAAGACTATCCTGGCCAACATGGTGAAACCCCGTCTCTACTAAAATACAAAAAATTAGCCAGTGTGGTGGTGTGTGCCTGTACTCCCAGCTACTTGGGAGGCTAAGGCAGGGGAATCGCATGAACCCGGTCAGTGGAGGTTGCAGTGAACTGAGATTATGCCACTGCATTCTAGCTTGGAGACAGAGCAAGACTCCATCTCAAAAAACAACAACAACAACAGCAACAACAACAACAACAAACAAAAAAATTATATCTATCTATGAAAAAAATTATATCTATCTATGTATCAATCAATCATCTCTTTATCATGTCCAAATAATTTGGAAATAGATACCTATTCAGGAAGGGAGTAAAGGAAAAGCATACATCTGGACTGGCTTCTAAGTTTACAGAGGACAAGAATCATGCCCTACGGATTCTTGTGTCTGTCCAGCCGAGCATAGCACCTGGCACATAGGCTGCTGATCTAACTGAGAGGTGACAACAGCATTTAGACAAGAATAGAGGTGTCACTGAGGAAGCACCATGAAAAGAACTTGAACAAACTTGAATATCCAATTCACCTTTGCTTAACTACTTAATTCAACTGTATTCATAAATAAATTCTAAAATTACAGATTCAATAATTATTAATAGCTCTGAAAACCCACAATGCAAACCAATCAGGAAAATTAAGCTATCAAAGCCCCACTACAGCAAAAAAAAAAAATAAATAAA